AGGCGAGGCAGGACTCCTGGCCTGCGGCCGGCACCTGCGCAGCCGCAATGCAGCTCTTGAGAGCCAGGGCCTGGGACGGAAAGTACGAAGGCACAGCAAAGAGGGCCGAACCGACAGACGCAGGGGCGTGCGTCTGTTTCAAGGCACCACTCTCTTAGGCGCCGCAACGAAACCTGACGTCATATCCTGCCGTAGAACATCAGTACATCCGGGTCGCGGTCATTTTGAGTATGTGTCTGGGTCATTTCTAGACCGCAGAGTCTCTATTCCCCCTTGCCCTTCTCGGCTTTCCCGCGCACTTCCAGCTTTACGCTTGCTTTCCTTTCCTCGCACCTTCTTCTCGGGTCGTTTCCGAGCCTTCTGTCCCTGATTTCCCGAGTTCGGCGCTCCGTCGCCCGACACTGTCTTTGGGAGGTGGGTGATATGACGCAGAGAGCCTCCCTTCTGCCCCCACCTGCTTCTTGAGCACTTTAGCGCAGCCACCCCGCTACCCCACACCTTCCGCCATTTTCCCGCCTGGGAGGGTTCAGCCATCGCGCCTCGGGTCTCGGGCTCCGGAGTGCTGGTGACAGGGGGAGGAGAGGGAGTGTTTGTGGAGGGCGTGGACGGGAGAGAATAGTGACGGACCGGGGGGTGGTCAGCCTGTAATGGCAGGTGGGAGATTAGAGAAGCGGAGATAATGGGTAGGATGATGTCGGAACCGAAGGTAATAGACCGAGAGGGGTCGGATATAGGATTTTCTTTGAAATTATGAGATTAAAATGATACTGTATAAAGAGGCTTGTCAACTCTGATAGTCTTTAGAGTTTCTAGGAAGCTGCGTTTTAATTCTTTCATGGTTGCTTTGGGTTATAAGTAGTTGAATTAGCAGGCTTTTTTTTTTTTTTCTCTAGCTTAGAGGCTGGAACATAGTAGGTCCTCAAGGATGGCTTACTGAATAAATGAATCATGGGAGTGCCCAGTTGTCCTGTTTGTATATATCATTTCTCATTTAATGCAATTTTTTTTTTTTAACGGGAATAATCGTGATTCTGTGTAAACACTGTAAATAGAGTTATCTGATCTGCTGGTCTCGTAAGTCTCAAGATGTAGGTAAAAAAAATTAAATTAAAAAAATATATATTCTTGAAATGCTGAGCATATTTTTTAATCTGTAGGCTGTTTGTAACCTGTTGGTTAGCAGCCCAGCACTTTATCTGCTGCACCACCAGTGCTCCTATATATTCTTCTAAATCTCTGTTTGGAGAGGAGGTAGAGTTTGAAGGCTACAGGAATTCGATTTACACCACCAAACCAAACCAAACTCACTGCTGTCGAGTTGATTCGACTCACAGCGACCCCTCCTTGGGTTTCTGAGGCGATATCACTACCAAAGTAGATTGCGCAGTCTTCCTTCTGAGGAGTGGTTGGTGGGTTTGAACTGTCAGCCTTCTGGTTAGCAGTCACATGCCTTAGGCACCACGGCACCAGAGCGCCTATTTACCACAGAGAGAAGGATACGATGTTATTTTTTATTCCAGTTTTTTTTTTTTTTTGCCGTACTGTTTTCTGGGTGAGGTTGTATATTACCTAATGACAATTTCAAGAATGGCAAGAGAAGTCTCGCTTAGTTTGGACACCTTGTCAGGAGGGACCAATCGCTGGAGAAGGACATAATGCTTACCAAAGTAGAGGGTCCGTGAAAAAGGAAATCTCAATGCTATGGAATTACACAGTGGCTGCAACAGTAGATTCAAACATACCTATTGTGGTGAGGATGGGTGGTGCAGGGCAACATATCCTTCTGTTACACGTGGAATCACTGAATCAGAGTTAACTTGTAGGCACCTAACAACAACGTTTTGCTTTTTAAAAGTGAAGCCCAAAAATTATTTTTGAGATTTTTTTCCTCTTCTACTTTGGGAAATTAATTATTGGTCATAGATTTATGAAAAGACCAAAATATAGAATAATGTGAAATCAGCTACTTTCAGGAGGGAATGTATACCCATTGTTTTACTGATAGCCTTTTATGTCTTAATTTGATATTAATCATTTGGTACATACTTATAAAGCACCTAATATTTTTTTCAAATAAGGAACCTAATGAATAGTCGTCCCAAATTAGTTGTTAAGATTATTATTTTTTTATTTAGGTAACTCTTGTTACTATATCAAGTACTTAAGATGTATTGGTTAGTAAATGTTTGTTGATTGACTGCCACATATATTTTTACTATGTTATAAATATTCTTAGTTTATGTTGATCTATCTCGTGATTGTCTCTAATACTTAATGTTTTTGATACAGGGAAGATGAATGGGAGGGCTGATTTTCGAGAGTCGAATGCAGAAGTTCCACGACCAATTCCCCGTAACTATTACATTTTCGTAATTAATACCACTTAAAAAAAAAAGTGTGTGTGTGTGTATATATATATATGTATATACATACGTATGTATATGTATTTTAGTGTAGTTTAGGTGAAAGTTTACAAAGCAAATTTGTTTTCCATTCAGCAGTTTATACACAGATTGTTCGGTGACATTGTTTGCAATCCCCACAACATGTCAGCTTTCTCCCCGTTTCCACCTGTTTCTGTTTGCCCAGTTTTCCTGCGCTCTTAACTTTGCTTTTGGGCAAATGCTGCCCTGTTGGTCTCGAATAGTTGATTGTTCTGAGGAACATGTTCTTCCTGGCTGTTACTATTCACTTTATAGGCCTTTTATGTGGCTGAAAGGTGATCTCTGAAAGTGGCTTCTGTTATAAGTTGTTGTTGTTGTTGTCATGTGCCGTCGAGTCAAACCTGACTCATAGCGACCCCTCCTTGGGTTTCCGAGGCAGTATCACTACGGAAGTAGGATTGCCCAACCTTCCTTCCGAGGAGTGGCTGGTGGGTTTGAACCGCCAGCCGTCTGGTTAGCAGGCAAGTGTCTTAGCCCCATTTAAGGGTCATAGGCTTGGGATTCCACCAGTCTCTGTCAGACTTTAAGTCTGGCCTATTTTTATGAATTTGAATTTTATCGTACCTTTTCCTCCCACCTTTTTCTGGTACCGTTTATCATCATCCCGGTCAGAGCAGTCGGTGGTAATAGCCAGGCATCATCTAGTTCTGGTCTCAGGTTAGTGGAGACCGTGTGGTCTGTTAGTCCTTTGGACTAATTGTTCCTTTGAGTCTTGGGGATTTTTTCACCCTTGTTTGCTTTCAGTGGAAAGAGACCAATAATTGTATTAGCTGACCACTTGAAGGCTTTTAAAACCCCAGTTGCCTACTCACCAAAGTAGGATTTAAACAATGTGTTTATGGACTGTGTTATGCCCCTTGACCTTGATGTCCCCCTGAGACTGTGGTCTAGCCCTCAAGCCCAATATCTCAGTCCTAGAAGGTGTTTGGTTATAGCTGAAGGTTTTCATGTCTGCTCCCTGTGTGCTTTATGATGTACATGAGTATATTTGCAACTTATGTAAGTATGTACATAGGAATATACACAGCCAACCCTATTTATACACATGAATATACTCCCATATGCCATACTACCTGATCAGCTTATATAACTACCTACATACATTATTTGTTATTACTGTTATTGCAGGATTGTTAGAAACACTTTCTATATAAAGAAATTTTCATTGCTTTGAGTGATAGCAGCAGGGCTGGCTTCATGGATGTGAGACCTGTGCAGTCATCCAGAGCCCTGTGCTTGGTTTAATGCTGTGCTATTACAATCTTGAAATTAAAAATGATCTGAATAAGAAGTAGCATGTTTTTATTTATACTAGGCTCCTGCACATTAAATAGCCAGTCTTAAAAAGAGATAGTAAAGAGCAAAAACCACTGAGTCGATTCTGACTCAGTGACCCCATTTGGATTTCTGAGGTGGTAAAGCTTTACGGAAGTAGATTGCCCAGTCTTTCTTCCATGGAGTGGCTGCTGTCGTTGAACCACCAACCTTTTGGTTAGCAGTCACATGCCTTAGGCATCACACCACCGGAGCTCTTTTGCACTTCTTTTTGAAGAAGTTAGAATTTGTTAAAAGTTTATGAGTCAGTTAGGTTGTGTTTTGTTAATATTTAGACTAAGCTTTTTTTTTAAGACTTAGTTTTTTTCAATGGACATTTTAATGTTTTCCTTTTTCTCTTGGTAAAAAGACATAGGGGCTGATTACATTCCAACAGAGGAAGAAAGAAGGGTCTTCGCAGAGTGCAATGATGAAAGCTTCTGGTTCAGATGTAAGTTAAACTTTCTAGTCAGCATAATTTGTCCATTGGTACCTGAAATTGTAATGACTGTGTAGAATAAATTGGCGAACTTTTTGACATACTGTGGTTTTGTTAAACGTGGTTGATTAAGGAAATAGATGTGAATTGTACACATTTTAAAATACTTTCTGACCTTTTTTCAAGATAGTATAGTAATTTTGTCGATACTAACAGCATTTATAGGAGCTCCGGTAGCATAGTGCCTAAGTCACTTGACTGCTAACCAGAAGGCTGGCAGTTCAAACCCACTAGCCACTCCTCGGAAGGAAGGTTGAGCAATCCTACTTCTGTAGTGATACTGCCTTGGAAACCCAAGGAGGGATCACTATGAGTCGGGGCCAACTCGATGGCACACAACAACAACAACAACGATAGCATTTATAATTGGATTATATCAAAACGGGAGCTCTGGTGGCATGGTGCCTAAGGCATTTGACTGCTAACCAGAAGGCTGGTGGTTCAGAACCACCAGCCACTCCTCGGAAGGAAGGTTGGGCAATCTACTTCCATAGTGATACCGCCTTGGAAACCCAAGGAGAGGTTGCTATGAGCCAGATCTGACTCAATGGCAGTGAGTTTTTGCGTCAAACAGTCTGGTAAGATTGATAGCAATTATTCTCACTTTACAGATAAATTGAGGTTTAGAAATATTAAATGAATTACCTAATGTTACACAGCTGGTAAGTTATGATGTTTAGACTTGAAGACAGGCAGGTCTGTCTGGAATGGAAACTCATGATTGTAACTCATAATTTTAGCCATTACTTATTAGAATAAGAACCGGTTACCTTCTGTTTTATTAATGTAAAATGTTATATACTGTCAGCTCTTGATTTCTGACTACAGATTTTATACATGAAGATTTTATTTTTTAAATACAGAGGATGTTGGAAGTAACCCAAAACATAATTTTATTTTTCAGTAAAACCATAGTATTGCTATGCCTGAAAACTGCATTTTTTTCTGGTTATGTAATCTCAACAAAAATGAAAAGTGGAATTAAAAGGCGATTTAAGCAGTTGAACAAATAAATGTACATTTTCATGAGTCAGCTTAGTTTTGTGCTTATAGTGTATAAGTAATGTTTGTGCATACAGTGTATAGGTATTATGTTTTATGAGGCACAGTCTTCCTATTAAAATAGTTTTCTATTAAAATAGTTGAAGTAGACTTAAGGCATGAAACAACTGGAGAAAATTTAAGTGTATAACTGCAATAGAAATTGTAAAAAGCTAAGTTAACTTGAATTGACTTAGCTGGGAAAGGCTTCGTTAAACAAATGAAATTAACAACTAATAGGACTTGCTCCTTGGAAGCAAGAATGGCCAGACTTAGTCTCACCGACTTTGGTCATGTTTTCAGAAGGGACCATTCCCTGGAGAAGGATATCATGCCTGGTAAAGTGGAGGGTCAGCGAAAAATGGAAAAACCCTTAGGCAAGTGAAGGCGGAAGGCGAGGGAGCATTGAAATGAGAGGAACAATGAGCAGAGGCACAGGATCTGCAATAACCCAATCTCTTCTAAAGCCTTCAGTCTGATACGAATGGAGCAAATGCCTCTTGTTGGAGGTAGAAAATAAAGCTTGATACCAAGGACTTAAAGGTTTGATTCAGTATATATCTTAGGCTCTTAAGCAGAGAAAGTGATAATGTAGATTTTTTTTTTCTTTGAATTTAAGGGAGACTATTTAACAATATGGGAGCTCTGGTAGCATAGTGGCTAAGGCACTTGACTGCTAACCAGAAGGCTGG